CCACCCCCCCTCCCACTCCCCAATCATGCCAAGGCGCTCGCTTTGCCATACCTGGTTCGGATCGATGTACCAGATGCAAAGGTGGATGTGACCAACGAGACCTGTTCAGAGCGCGCCATGCTGATCACTGGAAGTCGAGGATCTTCTCTTCCGGCAGCTTTGGCCATTGCCGTCTTGCTGGTCGCACACGACGAAGCGCGGCTTCTTCGATGTGAAGTGAGGGCGCACATCTTGCAGCTTCAGCTTCACCAGCGGGAGCGGGATGCGTCCATGATGGAGGCGAAGCGAGAGCGAGAGCGAGAGCAGCAAGAATCTTTCGCATCAGCAAAGTCGACGACGAGGCGGTTCGTGGATGCTGCGCACGAGCAAAGCGGGAAAAAGCATTGCGTTGAGAGCAGCGTTCAAGAAGCCCACCTCCCTCCATCGCTCACCGTCGAACGATTGCGCGCCTTGGTCAATGATGTGCACTTGACGAAACGAGAAGCTCAGACGAGGACGCAGTGGGTTACGCAGATAGCGCCAGAGTGGACACCCAGCAGAGCGCACCTCAATCGGGTCAATCAGATCTTTGTCTCTCGTCATTGATCGCACGAGCCAGAAGAAAGACATTTTGATTGCAATGCTCATGATACCGACAGAGAGTGGTTTTTTTTTGAAAAGGTCGAGCAGAAAGGGGCTTGCATGAGGTGACGAGTGAGGCGGAAGAGACGTCGATCGATGTGGATGTGCGAATGCAGCACTCGGCTACACGCTATTATGCAAAGGCGGCAACGCCGGTCAAGCCCTTACCAAGAATGAGACCATGGATATCTGGCGCATCGCAAGGAGAAGAGTCAGCGGAGTGCTGAGCGAGCGAGAGGTCACTGATTGGAGCGACGACGGTGAAAGTCGAGACTTACCATATGTGCCCTCGTACGTGTTGACGACGTGCAAATTGGCCATGTGTCGACCGATGTGGTACTCGTCCGAAGCCGCGTTACCTCTGCACAGGAGAAAAGGGTCCAACGGATGAGCAGCATGCACGTCGACCATTGTCCGCAGCCGGGGCACTAGACAGTCCGCATCCGCATCGCCTCACCCAAAAATTTCCGCCAGCTTCCTGGCATGCTCCACAGCTTTGCCGCAATTGTTGCGCTTGACCAAGCTCACCATTTCCGGGCTCCACGTTCCAGCATCCTTTGCCCTGCCCAGTTGCAAGCTGGCCAGCAGACCCAAACTAGCTTCCGTGCTCGCATCCGCAATCTTCTTTTGCTGCAATTGGAAACCTGCCAAGGGCTTGTTGAACTGCTTTCTGTCCAGAGCGTACTGCCTCGATTCTGCGATGCATGCTTCCAGCGCTCCGATGGCTCCCCACGTGATGCCGAACCTAGCAGAGTTGAGGCACTCGAAGGGAGCGCCAAGACCAGGCTTTGCGCGCGATAAGAAAGAGTCGGAAGCTTTTACTCGCACATTGTCCAGAAAGATGGAGCCGGTGACGGAAGCTCGAAGCATCAATTTGTTCTTGATGGGTGGACAGCTGAAGCCTTTGGTGCCCTTCTCTACGAGAAAGCCGCGCACCTTGTTGTCCCATTTTGCGCGTGCCCAGATGATGGCGACGTCACTTGAGGCAAGCATGGGACGCACGTCAGAGTCATCGCGAGCGGCTGCAGAAGCAATCGAAAGCCTGCCTGTTGGGCTGCTCAGCACTCACGCGTAAGGACTGCTACTGATCCAAGTCTTGCTGCCATTGAGCACAAAATGACCATCGCCATCATCCTCCACGACCGTTTCCATGCCGCTGGGGTCGCTGCCATGATTGGGTTCCGTCAATCCAAAGCATCCCACCAATTCGCCCTTTGCCATTCGAGGCAAGAATTTTTCCTTTTGAGAATCGGTGCCGAACTGGTTGATGGCACCCATGCAGAGGGAAGATTGGACGGACATGATGGATCTGTAGCCCGAATCCACCCTCTCTAGCTCGCGCGTGATGAGGCCGTAAGAGACGTTGTTGACGCCTGCACAACCGTGACCGTCGATTGTGGGACCCAGCAAGCCCATCTCTCCCAATCCGGGTAGGATGGTGGGGTCCCATACTACAACCGTGCGCATACAAACGCCCAGATCAAGAAATGGTCAGCTCACCATGCCCATCTCATGCCCGCACACGACCGCGCGCCACTAGACTGACCTTCATTTCTGTACATCTCTGTCACTTTAGGGAGAAGCTGCTCCTGGCAAAACGCTCTCGCATTGTCCCTGATGGAGATTTCCTCCTCGCTCAGATTGTCCTCTACCCTCATCGGATCTTCCCAATTGAAAGGAGAGAACTCTAGCGAGGGATGCATCGCGGAGAGGTGTTGCGGAAGAAGAAGAACGTCGTCAGTCGAAACGATGCGGGGAAAGGTGCACTGCCGCACGAGAGAACTGACTGGTCATGTTGAATTCGCCACCGCTTGCCACTAGCGACGGGTCCTGCGATTCGTTACCCCTGACGTGAGCAGTGGAGCTGATGCATCTTCGAGAGGCGCCAAGCTGAGCGGGAAGCGCACACTTGAACGACTTGCGCGATGAGCTTGCTAGGCGTACAGCTCGAGGAACGCTTTGAGGGGACATG